CGTATTCCCGGGGCGGGCTGCGGTCTGCCCTGCGGGCTAGGCCAGCTCCAGAAGCTGTCACGTGACGTAGTCGTGACGGAGCAATGCGGAGATGGTGCGAGATGGGCGCGGCGCCTTATATCGCGGTTATACAGACGCATTTGTGTGTCCCAAAGGCCGCATTTATGACATCATACAGACGCATTTACTATACAGACGCATTTCTGTGTCTCAACTTCCAGTATGAGAACATTTATGTTCATATACTGCTCCAGTTTGGGCTTCCAGTTTTAGAATCTAAGGTAAGACGTATTTTGCGCTTGAGTCCAGAACGTATATAAAGACCCTGAGACTATCAAATTAATGTGTGTGTGTGGCGTAGGATACTAAAATGGGACGCCAATATTGGCTGTCATTTTACTTCAAGAACTTCCAGATTAGAGCACAAAATTAATGCTCATATCACATGATACTGATAACTGCCGCTGATAACTTCTAACAGTAGGAGATGCTGAAAACCAGCAGCCAATGTTAGTGGTCCCCCCTTCCCCAAAGTAGTCCCCACCATCCGGGACAAAACAGGACATACTCATTCCCAAAGTAAAGGAAGGCTGTTCACAAACTCATACCTCAACCCGTTCGTGAGCCTGGAAATGGCGTTTGCATTCGTTGCGATTGGGGTAAATCCTAACACAAAGCTGTTGATAGCAGCCCCGCTTAAGTGAACCGACTGTGGGAGATTGGCTTCAGTTTTTTTTGTGGAACGTCGTGTCGAAGGATGTCCTCACGGCCAAGGCATGCCGAATTTGGGAACACCCGGAAAACCAATGATCGTTGGCGAAACCGCTCTAGCAGGGCACAAAGGTCACGGCATCCGACCGGTTGCAAGGGCGGCGCATTGGATCTTGGGCATTTTCGAAGCAGATATCAAAATTAGAGTCCTCGAGTTCATTCAACACAGAGCAGTGACGGTAATGATACCAGTGAAAAACTAAGGCTTGGGGCGGCACAGAACACATCGGTGAACATCGCAGCTCCAGCTCGTTGGCAAGCCTGGGCTGCATCTATCACACGGTGCATCACTCATGGATATTTGCAGTAGACGACGGTATGCACACGAACCATGTAGAAGCGTACTTCAGCCGAGCAAAATATCTTATTAGGAAACAACCTGACGACATGAGGTTCATCCCGAACATTCTCCATGGGTTTATGTGGAAGGAATGCCACAATACGAAGCTGTATGCCGGTCTTCTGCCATTGTCCAGCGCAAGTATTGCGTGTAGGCAAGTCTACAACACTTAACCTAACCTCCTCTGCCTAACCTGATCCAACCTTACCTGCCTAAAACTAATGGATCAAGTGTATCCTGATGGCGGGCGATATATCATAGGTTACAGGCGATTATGCTGCAACTGTATAGGTTACAGACTATACTGAAATACAGACGAAAGATCCCCTCGCTTCACTTAAAAATGGCAATGGCACTTTTAAGTGGTCTGGTGTCGCGAAACTTACATATATTAGAGGAAAATGTTGCGCAGTAACGGTGGTGATTGAGATTCGAAGTTATATGCCTTGGTATGGGCACCGCGAGGTGATTAATGTGGTTAATGTTGCAGAACCATAACAAGTAAAATTAATTCGGTATAACCTATAGCTGGAGCTATGAACTATAACACAGGAAATTTTCTCTCTAAGTTACATCGGTTGCTCGTGTCCGTTCTAGGCCACATCCATTTTCGATCCAGTATTTTTTTGGAGGCGTATTTTTCAAGATGACACATGGGTATATAGTTTTTCTATGCGGTATTCTGCCGGATGTCATTACCATATGGATAACATGGCACACGGCATCGAATATTTCCAACAGTCCGAGCTGTTCGCTCAGCAAAAGAATGAAAGATCTCAACGAGGCAGGGTGTTTGTTACAAGGTGATTTGTATTAGAAATCAAAGAACAGACTAAGTGGAGAGCAAATAAAAACCTTATTGAAATTCCTTAACTTACCAGTCGCCGAGTTATCGCGTAGCAAGTGAGGCGTCTCAGCGCGGAGCATCAGTGGATGTTTCAAAATCCTGTTAAGAAGCAGCTATGATAAGGGCAAAAATTTCGGCGTTTAAAAATTGTCACTTATGCGAAGAAGTAAAATATAGAACCTATTCGATACTTAAATACGCTTCAAAAAACAACATATGCTTAATTGTGCGCAACATAACGCTGTTACGAGGAAAAAATGATTGAAAGCAGATACAAACTTACTAGCAAAAACTGCTTAGGATTTTTTCACAAGAATTCTATTAAAATGAGACTACCTGCTGATGTACTTATCGCAGCAGTATATGGTGTGTACATGCGTTTAACGCTTTCTGCTTTTTCAGTGAAGGTGATCGATTGCAAGCTTGCAGGGTATTTTCTTGGGTTAGGTTAGGGTTGTTAAATTTGTGATTGTTCCAGTCGGGTGGTTACATGGTAAATGACACTGCCGGAAAGGTTGTAACAGTAGTTTATTTAACGGACTGTAAATCCTGAGCTCACAGTTCGGTTTCCCGTTTTTTTACCGTCATGTCTGTCTGTTGTTTTTTATGTTTGCACAAACCATTGCTGTAGAGGATTTCGTGCCACGTGTTTGCTGAGAATACAAACCGCATGATGTGAGTTTTATTGCAGCACTACGCTGCACAAACACATTATTGCACCGAGCCGCTCATCAGCCAGATTCATTTCCTGACTCCGAGCTTTTGCTCAAATGCTTCCGTCCGGGAGCAATGCGACGCTAAGAAACATTGGTTTTTGTTTTTACCTTGAATTTGATTGTCCATCATCTCCTTGCTGCTAAACCGGGATTTTTATACCTATTTCAAGCATGTGTTTTAGTTATCTATGTTTTGAACCCTGTTTTCTCAGCCATCTATTTTTATCGATAACTAATGTTTCTTCAGAGCTGCTGGGCTAGACCGGATGCACATAGTATGAAAAGAACGAGGCGTTGCGGAAGCCCGTTTCCCAAAAGTTCACCTCGCATGCATTAGAGACCGAAGTCAAAGCTCGGCGACCTGACATATGCTGGCAACATAGGGCTAAAAGTCAGCTTGATGTGCACTCACCGTTATATTTTTGTGAATACATCTCCGGAATGTCGTGAAATCGCGCCCATTTTGCAATAGCCTTTGGGGGCATTTGTTGTGCGTGTTTTGAAACTGCAAAACATATCCCTAGCATTCCCCCCTCCCCTTCTTAGCCCTCACCCTGATCCACCGTTCTTTACAACGCGGACTGATAGGGAGCGTCGATGTGATCCCCTCCACTGCTGTTTAAAATATAATAAAAGTAGAGCTTGGCAGAAAATACCAGTGAATAGGTCGTAACAGGATTTCGTGGTTGTTAACATGTTTTGTGTTGCTCGATTTATTATTGGCCCCATTATGCCAGGTCAAACGTCAAATTCCCACAAAATGGTACTCGTCAGCTTTACAGCCTACATACTATACATACGAGACCATGCCGTGTAGCGATATCAAAGCACAACGGGCGCGTTCCTTGTCCAGCTTTGACTATATTAACTTGTTATCTGTTTTAATCTTAAATTTATGATGCATTAATTAATGGGCTCCATTAATGTAACAAAGTCGGCCCACCGCGCGCGTTGCGCGGGTGTTCGCGGTTGCCGCCCGTTGCCTGCGCCGGCCATAGATTACCAGGCAGTGCTCTTCAACACCACCGCTGCACCGAAACCAGAAATTCTAGGGACATGTTCGTGGTTTAAAACACGCGCAACAAATGCCCCAAAGGCTATCGCAAAATGGGCGCGATTTCGTGACATTCCGGAGATGTATTCATAAAAAGCCCTGCGGGAGCATCGACGCGCGCTATCGGGGCGAGGGTTAAGGAACGCCTGGCTCTGCCGTTGGTGCTATCAGCAGGATTACTATCTATCTAGGTGCAAGACAAGTATACACAGCATTAGGGGTTGGCTGAGTGAGGCCCGCGATGCCGACGAGTCAACAACTCAGCTAACGGCCGAAAGGTAAGCCAGAGGCCATGAGCCCGCATCCTCGCTTCTTTCCTCGTGCGAACATCCTCACTGCCGAATGTGTGGGTCATTGGGGCGTTACGACGCATTCGGTAGCTGAGGCTACATGGCGTCGCCTACCTGTCACCTTAACAGGAAGGGTGGGCACCGCAGGAAATGGACCCCCACACCTCTGGTGTCCCAGACGCACAGATGAACGACCGCACTACCGGCACCCCCACTTCGCTGATTGCAATGCACGCGAATGCTCTTCGCCGCCAAGTCTTTTTGTCGTTTAACGGTTAAAGCACCACGCTAACAGACCAGCGGCTACTGGGCGAACTTTATATTGATGCGCGCTCGGGTGGGGATCAAATTGCCCCCCGCTCCGCCAAGGTTTTTCCGGAATGGCTTCCGAACGGTGCGGCGTAGCCACGCGAAATATTGCATAGCTGTAAACAACTGAATAGCTGATGGTCTGGTATCAAAAACTGAGATCAGGATATGTCACTGAGCTAATATGACCAAGGTCAACACTTTTTTAGGAACATACTGCCCAGCAAAATCTTTGTGGCCTTCTCAAATGCAAAACTTAAAGCAAACTTGTATGACTTTGATCACCATGACGATCAGAAGGTCCAAGAAGGTCACTGACTTTAAATGAGCATGTGATCTTTTGCTTGGACTCTGGTTACCATGACCTTCAAAAGGCCAAAGAAGGTTACTGTCTTAAAATGAGCACGTGACCTTTTGTTTAGAGCAGACATCTAGGCTCTGGTGACGCTTTGGAAACCAACCTGGAGTTTAATCTCGTTGGACCCCATTTGACCCGGAGGTCAAAGAAGGCCCAACAAAAGTCACCTAGGAACCTAAAACTTTGACGTAAGTTCACGTGCAGACCGAAACACCCTGTCTGTTGTCTTTAGCTCTCTTAGTTCCCGAGATCTCAAATTGACCCCCCACCCGAGCAAAGGGCATCCAACCGACCACCTGGGCGCGTGTTGACAACATGCTTTTTACGGTGCGCTTGTTATCAAAATGTAACTCATTCGAAAGGATAATTTGTCGAAAACATAATCATTTGAAATGTTAACTAGGCAAATTCCACCTTGATGAGCCCGAACAAATCGTCGAACAAACCACGTCTGAAACACGCGAGTGATGCCAGCGTTCACCTTCAAACGCCTGCAACATAGCAGCGAATGTTTTACCAGCGCCCACCATGACGCATCGCGCGCCAGCTGTCTTATCGGCGTGATCCCCGGCGCCAGCCATCTTATCGGCGTGATCCCCGGCGCCAGCTTTCTTATCGGCGTGATCCCCGGCGCCAGCTATCTTATCGGCGTGATCCCCGGCGCCAGCTTTCTTATCGGCGTGGTCCCCGGCGCCAGCTTTCTTATCGGCGTGATCCCCGGCGCCAGCTTTCTTATCGGCGTGGTCCCCGGCCGGCGGCCCGGCGGTCGCGGCCGTAGATAATGTGTCAACGAGGCTATGAACGACAGTGAATAGGGCAGCCCAGTGGCTGTCTCTCGTGAGAAGAATGGCCAAAGATGTCTGAGCGTGAGCCTGCGTGACACCGCGTCACGCCTGAGGACGGTCGTCGTTAGATCATCGTATAGTCTGGAGTCCCTGACCCGATGCTCCGGCCACGGATCACACACATCTTTGCAGCGGACGTTCATCCGGAGGAATGCAATCCTTCAAATTATGATTTTTGATAGGCGACATCGGCGAGAAATCACACTGGAGAAGGTTCGCATTCTGGACGTTCTGTACCTGTCTGTGTCCAAAAACAACTTTTCGTGTTATTAGGAACGCAATGATAGAAGACATTTTGTCGTTCTCCAGCATACTTCATTCCACTCACGCAAGCGCTGGGCGAGGCTGGAGAAACTAGCACGAGCCTTGCCTGTGGCCTTGAGCTGGATGAGGCGGTTATTGCTGCGTGCACCACATGATCACGTATCCAAGAGCTACGGTTCAGATGTCCCCACGCCCCTCTCTCGGGTGCCGGCCGTATTCCCGGTGCGGGCTGCAGTCCGCCCTGCGGGCCAGGCCAGCTCCAGGAACTGCGACGTGAGGGGAGTCGCAGTGAGCAATGCAAAATTGATGCGTTGTTGCGATCTGCGCCTTTTGATGTCATGGTTATACGGACGCATTCATGTGCCTCAAATGCTGCACTTATTATCACTGTCCGTAGTTCCAGATACCTGGGATGATACGCTGCCTGGCTGCAGTCTGTTCGCTGCTGGCTGCGGGTGTCCACAGCAGCATGTTTGACACGCTGTTCGGCACGTCCGCATCGATATGCACGGACGCGACGCCGCTGGCCGCCACGTGCAAGCTGCACTCGTCAACAGCGGCAAGGCCCTCGGAGCATCGACTGCGCCGGACGCGGCCTCGACAACCTGCCCGTCGGCCTGACGCTGCCCGGCGGCTTCTCGGCCGTGACGTTCGGCGAAAACAAGCTGACGGAGGTGAAGAGGGGCCAGTTTCGGTGGAACACGGCCGCAACGATGCTGAACCTCTCCCACAATCTGGTCGCGACGGTTGAGTCTAGGGCGCTGGCTGGGCTGCCAGTACTACAGACGCTGCTGCTGGACCACAATCAGCTGACGGGGCTGAACCCGGAGGCGCTGCAGGGTGTATACGAGCTCGCGCTGCTCGACCTTAGCTTCAATCGGCTGCGCGTGCTGGACCCGTCGCTGTTCGTCAACACCGACATCCGCGTGCTGTTGCTGAGTCACAACCCGCTGGTGAAGCTCGACCCCATGCTGTTCATGTTCGTGCCGCGTCTGAGGCGGCTGGACCTCAGCTCGATGCGCTCGCTGCGCCGCCTGGAGGCGCACGCCTTCAGCGGGCTGGACCAGCTCGAGGAGCTGCGGTGCGGGTCCGGCGGCGCGCTGGCCGAGGTGCACCCGGCTGCGTTCAGGGACGCCATCTCGGGCGAGCACCTGGCCCGGCTGGTGAGCGTGGACCTGGCCGGGAATAACCTGACGGGCGTCAGCCGCGACATGCTGCCCTGGGGGCGCATGGAGTTCGTCGGCGTCGAGCAGAACCCCTGGACCTGTGATTGCGACATGGCCTGGGCAGCTGGCGGCGCTTTGCCCCATGAGGATGCGCCGTCCTTCGTGTAAGTTCGAGTGTTAAGAGAGAAGCACGCAAAAATACTAGATGGAGGTGTGTTTATGGGGTCAATGAGCCGACAGCTGTTGTGTTAGTCTATTTTGAATTCGTGGCACTTTGGATGTAAGATAAGGTTAGAGTCGGATGAGTCGACTAACGAGGGTATGGCTGATTGTGCGGAGGGGGAGGCACATTTGGGTGGGGAGCTGGAGCCCAACTTGGGGGGAGCCAGTTGAGGTCCCTCCCCCCCCCCCCCCCGCTCCCGCCACTGAATAGTACACCCCTCTCCTCACCGTGTTCGCAGCTGTTGAAATTCGACCAAATCCCGGCATGCCTGAGATGGGCTCTGACACATTCCGGGAGCACCCGCACACCCATCTCCGGTCGATCCCGCGCTAAGGCCGGTCGGACGTACTGCCGCAGGTGTGAGAAGCCGAGGGCGGCGGTCGGCCGACCCGTCTCCAATTTGACGGCCGCCGAGTTCGGCTGCCAGGACGGCTTCGTCGCAAGCACCGGCTTCGTCGCAGGCATCGTCGTCTCGACTGTGGCGGTCGCGGTCGTCGTGGCCGTGGTCACCAAATGAAAGTTCCAGGTGAGAATACTTTGGCTGACTGGCTGGAACGGCTCACAGACCGGTGATGAACACTATATAAGCAGTGGGAATGATTGTCAAAGCCAACGATTTGCAAACCCAATATGTCATCATTATAGCAAACAGGACCGCTGACAGAAGTTGCGACGAAGGAGAGCTACCATGATTAGCGACGGGGAGAGGGTGGGGTGGGGGGGGGGGGGGAGGGCGCCATTGTTACGGGACGAGTCACAGCCCCGTTGACAGCACATGCGCACCGTGAAACGATTAAAAAAACTGCAAACGCTAATAGCTGCAGACAACTGTACTAAGAATATCAATGGCCTATCAATGTTGGTTTGCACTGGCGCCTTAAATAATTTTTTCAGGGTCTTACGATTTAATGGTCATTCTACTACACGCTATTGGTGTTAAACACTCACGGCTGGTGGCTTTTACATCTCACTGCCGATAGCAGCGTCTATGAATTTCGAATCAAAATAGTTTCTCCGATTGAATCTGACGGGGTAGGCTTAAGGGCCTCTGCCCCCCCCCCCCCCCGCCTCTTATCTGCGCCCCTGAGAACAAAAATGGAAGGCTGTCGAGTTCACTTTGGCAACGTCATTCAAATTATCACCGAAAATGTCATAATTCGTAATGCACAGCAACTGCCGTCACCGGCAAGCAAAAACCCGCTTCACTGATGAGACTGGCAGTGGCTTGACACGATCTAAAGATGCACGACTTCCACACTTCTGACGCAAGTGACGTCTGATGTCAGTGGCATGAGACGGTCTAAAGATGCACGGCTTCCACGCTTCTGACGCAAGTGACGTCTGATGTCAGAGGCATGGAACGGTCTAAAGATGCACGGCTTCGAAGGTACTGACGCCAGTGACGTCTGATTCTCAGCTGGTCTTCTTTCATGTGTCCCGCTTGGTTGCACATCTTCCAGAAGGCCTTAGCTGCCTTTCAAAGTCAGCTGCAGAAGTGACGCCGGACATCGAGCTTGCATAAGCAGTCAAACTGCTTGGCACACTCCGCAGAAGGACCCCTGTGCGGGCTCAGACCTGGCAGTTGGCTGGCGGAACCTGTTTCGCGCGCGTGCACAGTCACCCAGCCCCGACGTCTGACCTAACCTTAACTGGCCAGCATTAGGTATCTCTCCTTGTTTATTATTATTGCCGTTATCAATCCCCCCTTATTTATATTTATCTTATTGGGTATTAGGAGTCTCTTAGGCATTAGGCATCTTATTAGAATCCCCTACGTTGCTGTACCGAGTGGGATGTTGTCAAAACTGTTGTCAGCGTCGCGTGTCAGCCTGCCCTGACCCTCCCATATATCAAACGCCAGCAGTGCATGCTCCCACAACAAAGCATAGCGGAACTCATCCGCGAGTCTACCGGTGCGGGAAGGGGGGGGGGGGGGCATCAGGCAGCATGCGTAACGTGCGGACAAATATGCTGAAGGTCGTGTCCATCCCCAGCATGTTGAAAGTGGCTTCAAATAAACCTTTTCGTGAAATATCTCCGGCGGTTTGCCTTCCGTTAGCGCAGATCTCTACGGCGTGAAACGCAATGTTCCCATTCCCGATGCTTCAGTGATGAAGCATGATGTATGCCGTGATACAGCAACGCGTGACATCATCGACAGGAACACGATGCACATGTTGCGATTCGCATACAGCACGGCAAAGCGTAACTACTTTTATTGCTTGTAACCCTGTCATAAACAACCATCAAATATATTTCCACTTCAATGGGTTACTAAACGGCTTTCTCACGGATCGAGTCAGCAACCTCGCTGGTCAACAAAGAACACGAACCACGCATTGGGGCTGGAACACCAGTAACCAACCGACGCCATCAACGCGAGAACACCAAACCTCACTTCGCACCGCCACCTGCTCCCCACACGAGCAATGGTTCCACCCTGGGCAGGGAGCCCACCCCCCCCCCCCCCTCCCAGCGGAAAGCACGCGCACGGGAAGCCTCTCTGCAGTCTTTCACGCGCCGCAGACGGCACGCAAGCGTCCCCGAGGACTGCTCGGCCCCCAGCACGGCGTGAAGCGAAAGACGGGCGGTCAGCGGCGCAGCACACCGGGCGGCGAGACGCTCCGGTCGTGACCAGCGGTTGCCGGGGACGGGCTCACCACCGGGCGATGCGCTCCCCTCAGAACAGCGGACAGGGCCGAACAGCTGCACAGCAGCAGCCAGCCTTGCTGCAGCTGCATGGCAGCAGCCAGCCGTGCCGCAGCTGCCACAGCAGCAGCCAGCCGGGCTGCAGCCTGCACAGCAGCAGCCAGCCGGGCTGCAGCTGCGCGGCCAGCAGCCGGCCGTACTTCTGACGTCAGCTCGGCGTCCGCAGCGCGCAGGAAAGAACCGGTACCGGCCACACGGCCGCGGAAGCTTCGTGTAAGTTCGGCGAGTTGGGGGAGACAGAAGGAGGCCGGATGGAACTGCCGGTCATCGGCGCGTCCCAGGCGGGGGAGCGCGCGAACATCGCGGACCGGCTGCGCACGGGCGGATTGACGTCACGCGAGGTGATCGCGACCAATCAACGGACGTCATGCTGATTGGTCCGATCGGCCGCCTTCCGGCGCGAGAACGTAGCACGGCGCCGCCTGCGCCGCGGTGAATTCGCCAGCGGCGCGGTCGGGCCGCTTGGCGTCCGACCGGCACTGCCTCTCGACCTGCCGCTGATCTTGACGTCTCGGGCGACTTACATCTCAAAGTGCATCGGTGTCGCGCGGACGCGTCTGGGTGCGACACCGGCCGTCGTCGTCGGCGGCGGCGGCGACGGCGGCGCCGCCTCGCGCCGACCGCCAGGCGGCTGTGACGCGCGCTGGCCGCCAGTCAAGGCCGGAAGATCGCCAGCTCACCCCGGCGAAGGCCGCTGCCGGCCCATCGGCGGTGCGAGCACGGGCGGCCGGGGGCCCGGCCCGCCACCACACGCCCAGAGGCGTCCGCAGCCGTCAGCTGAGGGAGGCGCGCACCGGCGCGGTCAGAAGGCGCGCAGACCCACACAGATTGCGGCCAGCGACCAGGCCGTGTTTAAGGTTGTTGATTGGAGTTCTGGAGCGCGCCGACGGGCTCGTGTTTAAGGAGTGGAGGCACGGGAGACATGGCCCCTCAGTTGATCTTTTGACGAGCATATGATATGATTTTTATTGAGTGCCCGCGTCATAACAAGCCTTTTTACGACAAATTAGGCTATTCCGCTAACACGACAAGAGCGTGCGCATCCCAATTGGTCCCCGGGATCAGCTCTGCCGTCCAAAGGCAAAAGGCTTAAGCACCGTGCTAACTAATGGCTCTTAGGCCTTTTTGTCTTGGACGGCATGCTTGAGAGGCCCATCAAAATTATTTGAACAATGTGCAATACGACATACCCCGACCAGCTTGGAGGTATGCCCTGGCACTCATAACGATGCGTGTACACGGATAATGGGCATTAATGCTTAATGCTGAAACCAAACCTGTTGAGTATGGAGGAGCCGCTTTGACGCAAAACGATTGGCCCACTGTCAGGACTTTGCACTTGCCGAGATTGGCCCACTGTCAGGACTTTTGCCACTGCCGAGATTGGCCCACTGTCAGGACTTGCACTGCCGAGATTGGCCCACTGTCAGGACTCTGCACTGCCGAGATGGCCCACTGTCAGGACTTTGCACCTGCCGAGATTGGCCCACTGTCAGGACTCTGCACTGCCGCGACACGCGAGCAAACATGCACTAAGGAACCCTCAACAACCGGAGTAGACCTTTCAGGTCCCGGTCACCTTCCGCAAACTCCACAGTATCAGACAGCATATAGACATCCCATCCCCACCCCATCCCAGCATACAGACATCCCATCCCACCCCATCCCAGCATACAGACAGAGCAATTGGCCACCATTCAGTGCGCCCACCCGTGCCTCGCCTATTGCTCCATGATATGTGCTCACCCTATGCTGTCGAGATGCAGCTTTATCAACGCAGCCAGCTCCCGAGTTTGTTCCTCAGCGACTGCATTTCATGGCTAATGATCTCAAACCGTGCCTCGAGGTTCTCCATCATAGCATTCACCTCCTTCACCTGCGGGGAGGACACCAGGGAACCAATGGCGTCGCCAGCCAAAGCCTTTCCACTCCCAGGGAAACCTGTTTCATTCTACGGCACGCAGTTGGAGAAACACAACGAGAAAAAAACGCGAGCAGCAGAAACATAGTGCGTGTTTCGCAAGCTACATACTTACATGAGCCATCCTCAAATACGATGAACAACTGCTTAATAAAAACGAAGATATTTGCATTGACCTTACTGCCGGCACGGGGTGTAAGGACATGGTGGCTGAACGCATGTCTTGAAATAGATTTTGAGCATGCTACTATGACATTTTTGGATTAGAGTCCTTTCAACCAGAAATGATCATTTCAGGGCTACGGAACTATGAGAATGGTTAACGGTGGGGGGCAGACCTGCATGCGCCTAGGGGGCCAACCGCCGAGCTTTAATCCGCGCATGCGCGCTGGATACCCGATCGGGCATCCCCTTCCCACGGAGCCCTCGGCCCACCAGTGGCTGACGCATGCAGCCCGCCCCGGACAATCGGGGTGTCGCGAGGATGTAGGACAAAGCAAGTGGAGGATAAGAGGGACGGATGAGTGACCACGACAGATCACGAGAAGAAACGTCTGCCACGGAGCGAGAAAAAGTCTCCATCCCGACAGTTGCAGGAGCACAGACGGCTGGCTACGGACCTGAGCAGTGTACTCCACAACTTGTCCTCCTTCCGGCGCGCGTTTATGTGCCTGGTGAACTCCAGTCGGCCAGCAGCGACATAGCGCCACGCACACGAGGAAGCCGGCCACCATCAGCGGTGACAGCTGCCGACGCAGCAGCGCCATCTCCTAGCGACAGTGGCAACTTCTGTCAGTGGGGCCGAAGTCACGCCTTGGCGGGGGAATTATTTGTGCTCCTAGATCACATTGTGGACGCACAATGTGTTTGAGTTGGAGTGTGAGAAAGATGACAATGCTAGGCAAATCAACTGTGACAAATCAATGTGACCTATTGCAGCCTTTGTTGCAGCACAGTCAGAACCAGTTTTCACTGGACCACAGCATGATTCTCCACAGACATGTCTCTTATACATGCCTATGTCTCTTCTCAAGGCTGTCATGGACCAATTTACACTTTAAACTTGGACCAGATGCAGACTAATGTGTCCTGGTTGGTTTGGGTCAAAATCAAAAGCCTCGATTATGCAATCACAGATGCTCCTAGCAAACATCACAAGATTTCAGAGAGACAAGAACTGTAGATTTTTGAAAGCACAGGTAAGAAGCCCACCAATTTGAGGGAGGAGGCCTGGATTTTGAAAACCTAGAAAATATCAAACATGAGGCCTACACAACTGAATAAGGAACAATAATCAATGCTTAAACTCTTGAAATATACAAACCAGTAATTTCAACTGTGCAAGAGTAAGACAGGCATCATGCAAGCAGGGCATACACTTGTTCAGTTTTAAAGTTATAATGGCTAGCAATCTATTTTCCCCTAACTCAGAGTTGAGACCTGAATGGGGATGTTGAGGTGAATAGAAATATGTCTAGCTGGCCCATGCCCAGTGGGCATGCCTACATACTGAAAAGGTTGACCCTGCAATCATTGGATCAAGTAAAACACTAAATTTCAATGACATGCCTAACTGACTCATTTGAAACAAGACAAAGTTCCTTCCGAAAGATGAGTGGATAGCTACTATGACATCTTAATAATTCAGTGCATACACTAAACCAGACCACAAAACTCACCACATAAACAGGCACCACATAACTCACATACTGATTCCACGCACTTCACCCAGTCACTCAGAAGCTGCAAATCGAGCATTCAGGATTTTAATGTAAGTTATGTTGCCCATACCATGGTTCAAACAGACGGCCTACGAATCCCTTTCGGTTGCAATCGTTTCTGACTGTTATGGCCTACGGTCCACTGACACCCACGATGGGTAGTTCGCAAACTAACTCAAATGCATACAGGGAAAAATCCACAGCAAATTCCGACAGCCATCCAGGCGAGGAATATGATGACGAAACAAATTTACCACACCTAGGATTGGCACTTCATGGTTGACACTGTACCCTCCCTGGGTGTCAGTCATTCATCAGTGCGTTGGTTTCGTCTTGGTTTCGGACTGTTTCGTCGAATGTGAGGGATAACCTACACGGAACGGTTGCTGGCATCTGAGACCGCATCTATCCGTGTTGAGTTTCGAATCTCAAGCAGATTTCTCTAAAATATGTCATGTGGAAATTTATTGAATATTATATTTCCAAAACTCGTGGTTTTTACTTTTCATGATGAATATGGAAATAGCCTACCTATCATATATTAGGCTGAGCATTATCCGCTAGAGGCCGTCCTAGTAGTAGTCTGAACTCACACGGTACCGCGATGTTCGGACACTAAATAAGGAGTGTATGGTACCGTCATTCGCGTGGTCACGTCTGATGGGCGTATTTGTGGTGGCCTGTGTGTGTGAGTATGGACCTGGTGCTGTTTGGCGCTATTGCTTGTTTCGTTCAAAGGTTGTTTGTTGTGAGGCATTTTGACCACATTTTGCATGGAAATGCGGTGCAGTGTGAAGAATGACGGCTTGCTAAATTGGATGACTGTAATTTATGCTGAGCTCGCTTTGCCCCGCCGAATAAGTAATAGGATGCTGATTTCAGAGCCCTTGGACCTTTCACGTCAAGAGTAGTTATCAACCAAGCACAATGCAGGTAGGTAGCAATGTGGTGAAGACCGTTGGAATGATGTGTACTCTACATGGTTTGATGACTGCGTGGTTTGATGACTCATCTAAGCATCACTTTTCTACATAGTTAAGGACTTCCGAAGGGTGTGGAGATGGGAATGACTTAGGCCATTATTTTGACATCCTACCTATTTCATTGCATGGAAAGAACTGTGTTCAACAACTTGTGTCACCTGACATTTGATTGTTTGTCAGGTCCAAATGTGACTTCTAATTTGCTTGCTGCTTATGCATGTGTATTGACCATGGCTGAAATAATGAATCTACATTTTATTATTGTCATATTTTTACAATGCCCTTGTGTTGTTGCCAGGACTTAACACATTTATGTATCTTGAACAAATCCTTGCATGGATATATGTATATATGCATGTGCCACCCAGCATGCACAAAGTCAAAATTACCTTATGTATGCATATCAAGAAGCTGATACTGTCCCAAAGCCTGATCAGTGCTAGAAAAATTGACTTCTGCTGTCGGTCACCGTTTCCAGAACGCCAATGAAGACACAGAATGGAACGATGTGCTACGTGCAAAAGGCATTCTGCCAGCAAAAGAGAAAGAAATTACAGAACAAGACATTGTTCAGATGGTAGAGGACACTGTTTCCAAGAAAGTCAATGGTAAGTCCCTTGCATTCAGGCTAGTATTGATAGATTCATCCTGATGATCCTGTATGTTGGTTTTCATAAATATGCCAATTCTGCTAAAATTTTGCGGGCAGAAGCATGGCATATAACAGACTATGATTAAGTTTATTGTGCCATGCTGCCAGTGGTGTTGTACCACATTTTATCTTTGATATTGTGCCAGTTATCCAAAACTTCATGTTAAGGGTGATTGGTACCTTGGACATCATTTCCTTAGAATAGAATATCTTGCCTTCAGCAGGTCCATGCTGCTAGTTACCAGTCATCATAGACATGGATCATACTGCTTGTTACCAAGTACCATGCATAGTTGTGTCACGACAGCTTAGAGCAGTTTTTCACAGACATGGGCTATGCTGCTCATTACCAAATACCATTCATAGTTGTGTCACAACAGCTTAGAGCAGTTTTTCACAGACATGGGCTATGCCGCTCATTACCAAATACCATGTCGTAGTTGTGCCAGGACAGCATAGAGCAGTTTTTCACAGACATGGGCCATGCTGCTTGTTACCAAATACTGATCAGACAGCATATTCATAGGCCGCAGTCTGGGCGAGATGAACCTGGACGAACTTGACGAGCTGGAGGACGACGAGGACCGAGCGCGTGGCTGCTGGAATACCGGCAAAAGCGCATCGAGGAGATGCGTGCCGCTGCCCGCGCCGCCAAATATGGCGAGGTCAGTGCCTGTGACCCTGCTTATGGGGCACAAGGTGATCAACCCCATGTCACTGAGTGCCATTGCTGTGAGTGAGTCCAGTATCGGTTTCTCAAGCATTGTTTACCATCCTTCTGATGCACATAGATGGTTGGATGCAGGAATGACAGTGTCCGAAAATGCTCGAGGGGTGTGGTGCGATTTGTTTTCGACCACAGCCCTCGAGGGTCAGGTACGCGCCGAAGAAAATAAGGGACGGCGAGGACTGGACTGGAACCTGCGACGAGCCGAGCATTACCGGTGACCAGCTCGATGCACAGAGCACAGTGGCTCCACGGGCTCGGGACTGGTGCTGCTGCGGTCTCGGGAGTCAGGATGCAGTCGAGTCACGGCAGGGAAAACTGCGGCTGATGGTCTCTATCCGGCTCGCTTCTCCCCGTGTTGACACCAGCCGCGCTCTGCGGCGTCTCCCGGTCTTAGATGTTTACACGGAGTATGGTAGCGGCTCACCACCCACCTGCCAACTAACGGCAGCGCGTTGCGCCGCACCTCCTGCGGGGCTCCGGTTCCGGCGCCCAGTGGAGCCGCGTCAGCAGCTGTTCAGTGGCCGCTGCAGTGCTGCCTGATCCTGGACACCTCCAGCCCGACCCTGGACACCTCCAGCCCTGACCCTGGACACCTCCAGCCCGATCCTGGACCTGGACACCTCCAGCCCGACCCTGGACACCTCCAGCCCGACCCTGGACACCTCCAGCCCGACCCTGGACACCTCCAGCCCGACCTGGACACCTCCAGCCCGACCCTGGACACCTCCAGCCCGACCCTGGACACCTCCAGCCCGACCCTGGACACCTCCAGCCGACCCTGGACACCTCCAGCCCGACCCTGGACACCTCCAGCCCGACCCTGGACACCTCCAGCCCGACCCTGGACACCTCCAGCCCGACCCTGGACACCTCCAGCCCGACTGGACATCTCCAGCCCGACCCTGGACACCTCCAGCCCGACCCTGGACACCTCCAGCCCGACCCTGGACACCTCCAGCCCGACCTGGACACCTCCAGCCCGACCCTGGACACCTCCAGCCCGACCCTGGACACCTCCAGCCCGACCCTGGACACCTCCAGCCCGACCCTGGACCTCCAGCCCGACCCTGGACACCTCCAGCCCGACCCTGGACACCTCCAGCCCGACCCTGGACACCTCCAGCCCGACCCTGGACACCTCCAGCCCGACCCTGGACACCTCCAGCCCGACCCTGGACACCTCCAGCCCGACCCTGGACACCTCCAGCCCGACCCTGGACACCTCCAGCCCGCCCTGGACACCTCCAGCCCGACCCTGGACACCTC